TCCGGCCCGGGCTGCCATGCCCACGTCTGCCCATGGCCCCCACTGCACAGAGATGGCAGGCAAGTTCTTGGCACGTCTGCGGGCGCCCATGGCATCCATGAAGGCGTTGGCAGCACAGTAGTTGCCTCAGTTGCCACGTTCGATGAACTTTGGGGTATTCCCCCTCGCCATATGGGTGCAACCCATTTGCCACGGACTTTCCCAGTGCCAGAATGGAACCCCCAGCTTTCACACTGCTGCCTCGCAGCCTTGCGCGACCGAGCCTATTATAGCGGCTGCCGAGGAGAAGAGCCACATAAACTAGGCGGAAGAGAAGGGCTCATGCTTCTGCATTGCATTCGAGAGGATGCTGCACGCTTCAGTGCAGTTGTCATCTTCCAGGTTCTATGACTCTCAGCCATGCCTAGGACCTAGGGCGTTCAGCACTCGCTATCACTCGCTAAGTCTCGTCGATTCCCCTCCCGGCCTCCAGGGGCAGGCCCAGCTCGGCGGCCACTGTGTGCAGCTGAAGGGAGCCGTCCACCTTGCGAACTAGTTGCCAGAAGCTCCACACCGCATGGAAAGCTTCAACCAAGCTGAAGGACACTCCAACACAAGGGGCTTCTTAACCTGCCTTCGCCGAGCACGCAGCCTTCAGCGTCGCGCGGCTTTGCCCAGTCTTGATGAGGCCATCTGCCAATGTTCCGGCTGCATGCAGGATGCCCTTGACAACGTGACCCTGGTCGTTCTCTTTCGTGAGCACGCGCAGGAGGTCAGCTCTGGAGCTGATGTCGCACTTGCACGCCGAGATCTCCACCTGAGCCTCCTTCTCCTTTTCGAGCCTGCGGAAGGCGGCCTTCGAGTCGGCCTGAGGCTGACCGCTTCGGGACAGCAAAGCAAACCGGCCCCGCGCACCGCAGCGGACCATCCAGTCCACGAAGACGAGGCCAAGGGCACCGGTGCCGCCCGTGACGACGTAGAGTCCTTCCCCGAAGTCGGGATCCACCGGCTGGCCGCTCTGTGCGTTCTGCAGCCTCGAAGTGGCAACCACCAGTCGCGGCACATGCGAAGTGCCGTTCCTCACCGCCAGCTCGGGCTCGCTGCGCCGCAGCTGCAGCTGCCTGGCCAAGCCTGAAGCCGAGGCGTCCGCCAGGTCCAAGGACACGGTTCTCAGCTCCGGGTGCTCGATGCGGAAGGCCTCGGAACTCCCAACTAGTCAGGAAACCATGGCCCTGGCCGTTCTGGCCCTTGCACGCCCTGTCCCTTGCACGCCCGGCCTTGGCCAAGCCCCAGATTCCCGCGTGACTCGCGGGGAGCTCAGCCGAGGACGAGAGATCGCCCTCTAGGACGCTGTTGCTCAAAGAGATTGGCAGCCAGAGTTCCGGCATGCCAGCATCCTGCACACCACACAACGGCGATTCACTTCGAGAGGCATTCAAGACTTGCAGTAAGTTGCAGTCCTTGGAAGCCATTCCTG